ATCCTTGTTAAGACAACCTCAGTCCAACATTCAACACCTGGATGTTTAAAGACTCCAGCTTTATGCATGGAAATTATGCAGTCCTTTGCCCATCCATAGGGGTTTAAATTATACAGTTTCCATTTATTTGACTGTATCCTCCATCAACCTACTATGGCAATCTATTGATGGAAATTGACTATATATTGTCAGTGGTGTCTTCAGTGAGCCTTCAACCCACTTCATTCAACAGACCATAGTTTCAAGTTTTTTGACATGGATTTTAAAAGGTTTAACTTCTACCTTGCATTATATACAACATCCTTCACTGTATCCTTCCTATATTTAAACAATTTTAAATATAAAATATCTTAGAATCAATATTTTGTTATTATGAGATGATAACTCACCTCTCTCACATGCACTATCCTACCAAAAGTCATGGGACATGGGTAGTTATGAATAAAAGGTCTTTATTCCAAGAAATTAATAGTATGTTGGCCTGCCTTTGGCCTTAATGACTGCTTCAATGCATTGTGGAAGACTGTCTACTAATTTCTGGTAGAAAGCTGGTAGTATTGTGCTCCACTCCTCCTTTAAAGCATCAGTAAGCTCCACTAATGAAGATGGCCATATTGGCCTTGCCCTAATTCTGCATTCCAGTTCATCTCATATATGTTCTATGGGGTTGAGGTTGTGGCTCTGTGCTGGCCACTGCAACCAATGTTATTCTCTTCAAACCACATGTTCACAATTCTTGCTTTGTGACATAGAGCATTATAATGTTGGAAGGTGTAAGGGCCAGTACCACAAAATTGCCACAATGTAGGACACACAGAATCATTCAGAACATCAATGTAGGAATCAGCATTCATGAATCCATGCATTGTGACCAGTAGACCTAGTCCATACTATGAGAAAGAAGCACTCCCAGACCATGATACCACAACCTCCAAACTTCACTGTTGGGACAAAACACTCTGGTAATAAGCATTCTCCATTTTTGAATGTTATTAGTCTGTATTCTTTGGTGCATTATAAAAAAAAAAAGATTGGTTAAGATTCCTGTTTTTCGTGTTTATTCTTTATGTATAATTATAAAAGTAATTAAAATGTAAAAATAGGGATCTTTTTAGGTGAGATTACATTAGGTAAAATAAATAATAATAATAATAATATTGTAATAAAAATGTTTTACAAGGCACACATGTGAGCAGCTCGTGGGTAATGTTTCCAAGTAATTTACAACTTATAATGGTAAGGATAGTAGTTAGACACGGTTCAAAGGGCAATAAAACAATAAAATTTAATTATAAATAGATGTATACTGTTGTGAACTTAGAGCTACTTAGGATAAAGGAATGTTACAAAGTCTGTTGAAATAGACTGATTCCGTTTTAAGATAGGGTTGAGAAAATAACAGATAAACTATAAAGTTCTACTGAAAGAAATGTTTGAAATGCATTTACGAGATTTTGGAGATGAGGAAAAGTATTT